ATAATAATACTTATCCTATATATAATACGTAAACTCCCCCTTTGCTCCGTTACTTATCTCCAGATTCTCGGGCCGTGTAGTGCTTATTACATTAATACGTAGATTATCTCCTCTTCACTAACCTATTTATATACCCCAACCAACTCATCTCCCCATCCTAAAAGGCCCTTCTTGTGAGAGGGACTCCAGGTCCCTGTGAGATCTGACGAACAACACGGTATAAGCCAGCCGAACCTACCTACCCACCTACATCGTGCTGTGCTATGCCATGCCATGCTGTGCTGCGCTCTGGACAAGCCACCGTAGCTTAGGTACCTGGTATATGTATGTACTTTAACAACCCGTCAGCCAGAAACAATTCACGCTCCAGCCCGGCAGTTATCACATTACACAGAGCGGAGGCGTCACAGCGACACAACACACGCACACACCTATGTACATCCCCCCTCCCCCCCCCCTCTTTTTTGGTTATGAAGAAAACGCCATCTCGGCTGTAATACCCGTGTATGGACATTATTACATATAGGAAGAGAGTGAGAGAACAAACATATTTTACCTAAGTATCGGGGTTTTCTGGACTCAGAAGGACATACTATACCGTGCTGTGCCATGTCCTTATCATCCCATCCAGCCCAACAGCATGACAACTGATCTAAGCTGCACATATATACTTATATACATATCTCTCGTCTCTTTTACCCACCATATCTCCCCCCCTCCTATACAGGTTCGCTCATACTGAAAGCTAAGAAGAACAAGCGGCATTAGGCAACCCTCATCCCCATCGCAGCCTGAAGAAATTGCCAATGAGGTAGAATGCCAAACCCACGTGTAGAAGATAAAGACAGAGAAACAAATATATATATATACCTAGGTATATATACATAATAGAGAGTGGGTTAAATATCTCACGTCACCGTAGCAGCGGCGGCGGCAGCGGCAACCCGAATACAAGACAAGGACAAGAGACCTACAAACCGGTCAGTCGAGAGGAGGGGTAGGAAAAGACTTCTTCCTGCCTTCTCCAACGGCTTCTATATAACCAGTGATCTAGGCCGTTCGTTCTATTCTCGAATATTCGCTGAGTAGCCTGTTACTTGGATTTAACCTATACGTAGCAGACCAGTGGTTTCAAGACGTACCAAGTAGTCCAGATACCAAGTAACCTACATATAAAACCCTAGGTTAGGTTAATCCAGTAAAACTTGATTCTAACCAACCAACCAAGTAGACGACTTGTTTACCTTCACCTAGCTAGAACAAGTAAAAAATTTATCCAAATGTAAAATATCCTAAGCCGGTGATAAGAAACAGAACACCAAAAACATAATGAGTCAAACCCCGGTTACTACCTAGTCTATCTTCTCTCGTGCCCCTATTCCCCCTCTATCATTTCACACTGAAAGGCGGGGCGGGGCTTTTTTACTTCACTTACCTACTTCCCTCTATCTTCAAGGCTACCTACATACATATACAGAGAGACATACCTGCTTGCGCAGGTGAGCGGTAACACGCATCACACACATCGGTTTGTTGCTGTCTCAGAAAAACCGTTACTCATATGTACCCCTAACATGTGGCCTATTGCCAAGAAGAAGAAGAATCACCCCTGGCCGGGCTATGTATGTACAATACATACTGCTTTATCTCTCTAGGTTAGGTTGAGTCACATAGTTTTATACGGGTTATTGTATCTAGTATGTATCTAGCGAGGCGGGTAGATGCGTGCCTAACTGATTTACCTAAATACATAGGCATGTATACCCATCGCCAGAGGCAAGTAGGAGATTTCGTCAACATGCGGAACCTACTGTCTATCGACCTGGTACCTAAGAAAGCGAGCTTTGACATATGTTGTATATATACATAGATCTATCCATCTAAGCTCCTTGCATAGTAAATATCTAGTTCTCTAATCCGATTTCGATCTATATGCCCACTAAGAGAGCAAGAGAAGCAAGCTGTTCGGTTCCATTCCCCAAGTCGACCGAGTTATACATGTGAAAGGGGGGGAAAGAGAAAGGGAAAAGAAACCCTAGCCGGTCATGTATGTAGTACGACTAACAATAATATTTTGGGTACATAGGTAGGTATATATGTCGGCAAGTAAGGAGACAGACCTATATACCCAATATTCATGCGTGAAACACCTTCCCCGGACCGATCTGCATCACATACATACATAATACATATCAACATCATAGCCTACACCATTCAAGCCAATCTTGATATATCAGATGAAAACCACATCGTGCTAAAAGAGGAAGAGTTACCAAAGGTTGACATGCACCCAATTCGCAAAGTCTCATCTTTTATTATTCATAACACTCACACGCGATGATAGGTATATCTCTTATCGTGAACGTTTCTCAAATATATTTTTTTTTCTCTCTAGTTTTGATTTATTATCCCTTCCCGTTATAAAACGCCGGATCATGCATTGTCATACAAATAATAGACATCGACTTGCCTCATGCATCCACCATGTTTCGCGTCTATCCGGTATCAGACCAACTCCAGCTATATACACGTTCACCCACTCGCCCTATCAATCCCTCTATCCCTCTTCCTATCCCCCCTTTATCTTTCCCCTTCCCCCCGTCTTCCCACCCCACATCCCTCTCATATCCCCCGATTAAACACCACCAACCCGCCCTCTCCCCCCTTCCCATGGAACTCCTCCTCCAGACTATCCGCGCTGATGCGCTGGCGCTGCGGGAACGCGGCCAGCGCCAGCGGCAGGGCGATGTAATTCATGCCGAGGATAAGGCAGAGGTTAACCGGCAGGGTGAGGCGGAGGTTGCGCTTGAGCCAGGCGGCGCGGCGCTGCAGCGCCAGCAGCAGCAGCGGGGGCACCACCATGATGGGGCTGCTGTTCAGGACGCGGCTGATGGCGGTCTCGCCCACGGCCAGCGTGGCCGCCTTGCGGCTCTTGCCCAGGGGCTCGACGTCGTTCTCGGCGCGGCCCTCGGCGGCGAGGCGCGCGCGGTCCGCGGCCGAGAGCACCGGGTACACGGGGATCCCCGTGCGCATCTCTTCCCCGCGCATCAGGAACACGTTGAGCATCCCCGCGGAGGCGACGGCGGCGAAGGGCACGAGGCGCCCCAGGATGAGCCGCGTGGAGGGCGTGAGGCGCTTCAGGCGCGGCACGAGGGAGTTGAGCCCAACGGCGACGGAGCACGAGGCGCCGACGGCGAGGAAGTAGGACTGCGCGAGCTTGGAGTAGGATAGGGGGGTGGACTTGTTGGCGTTTGCGTTGTTGATGGCTACGTTGAGGGACTGGTTGGCGATCTGCCAGGCGATCGTGCCGGTGGTCTAGTGGATGTCTCCTTGTTTAGCTAACTGGTGCTCAGGGTTCGGGGAGGGGGCTGAGAGAGAGGAGGGATTCCACATACACCGAGGCCGGGTGTGAGCATGCCCGCCGTCACGATCAGGTTGGTCAAGCAGAAACATGACATGCGGAAGGGGAGGAAGACGGGCTCGCCAGTGTCGGGATGTATCGTAGAGTCGACGATCTTCTTGGCCTTCCACAGATCCGGAGTCATCTCCTTGATATCGCCCTGCTTGTACGCTACTAACAGCGCCTTTGCGTTCTCCAGACCATGCTTGCCGGCGAATAGAGTGCTATGGGTTAGATGCGATATCAGGTTAGCCATATCGTCTTTCTCGCTACCCATCCCACGCTGGATAGATAGAACTCACCTAGGGTCAACCATGCCAATCATCTGCTGTACGCGACCCCAATAGGTATTCAGGTCATACTGCGACTCGGGCAGCTCCCGGTTTCCTGGCAGAGAGGCCGACATGTTTGCTGGTAGGAGGGGGGGGCTGGTTCCGTATATCTCTTTCTGCTCGCTCTATAACTCCTCTTTTCTATTCTCCCACGGCGAAGCTTGGCAGCAAGGGACCCAAATCTCCGAGTCACCGAAGGAGATATGTATATATATGAAGGGTATATATATAAACAACGGGGAAGAAGAAAGGAGAAAGGAGAGCTCAGCTTCAGCAAGCTTGGGACCGTGACTCGGCCAAGGTACAAGCTAGGGAAAACAACGAATGCACAACATTAGTTGGATAATTAAATTATGCAGTCTAGTACATAATTGTCTAGGTTAGGATATAATTGGCCTTCCTGTCATCGGAAAATATCGTAACAATATACAGACATAGCAAGGTGAGAAGAGGTGGGAGACAACTTATAAAAGGAAAAAAGGGAGAAGAAAAAGTGATGGTGGGGCCGGTCTCGGCATGTACATACCTATATATGCAGTGTAATACCACTAATCCAATACACTAGGTTTTACTACATACAGTGCTACCAACTCACTTAAAAAAAAAGAAAAAGAAGAAGAGTTCCCCGTATATACAATTAGTAGACCTACTGATAGGCGATAGACGGATAGACAGATAAGAGACAAGACGGGAACACCGCCGTTACGGTTCATAGGTAAAGGTAAGAAAACCCCGCCATCTTTACTCTCTTCTTTCCCCTTTTTCTAATTGGTTGCATACCTTAGATAACCTTGCTAACCCATCCCCGCATTTTATGTTTCTATCCTTACTCACTGGACTACTTCATGTAGTGTCGGCTGCCATCCCGTTTGCGACGCCGTTTGCGACGCCGTTTGCGATCCCGTCTCGAGGAGTTATTATCGGTCACTGTTCCCGTTGCCGTCAACCACTTGCATTTACTGAACTGAAACCGCCCCCTTTCCCTAAATAAGTACAAGTACTTGAGGCGGTTTGTAAGTAGTATCCGAGTTATCCTTATCACATCTAAACCTCATCCATCATTCCCCGACGGCTATTAAATTGCTTTACCCGGATTTGAAGTACCATGAGGGGTGACGAAAAAAGAAAAGAAAAGTAAAAAGAAACTTGAATGGTGTTTTGCGTAAACCGGCAACATGCATACCTCAAACAAAACTTGAAGTGAAGGGGAGGAGAAAAGGAACAAAAAAAAAGAGATACTGTAGCAAACAACAAATACCGAGTAATAACGAGCTTGACCGGAGTCGAACCGACAATCTCCAGAGGATCAGGTACAAAGGAAGAACCGAAATCTGGCGCCTTAACCATTAGGCCACAAGCCCTAAGCGACAGGGGTTACGGTGTGGAAGTAGTTGAAGCTATGAAAACTTTTTGCCGCTATTGGTGCTCAAGTCAGATGGTGATTTGTTCTTGATTGTCTAAGAGAGAGAAGAAATTGTATGGGTTGGGGACAAAACTTGGGCCAATCACGGATAACCTCTAACTATAAGAATTTCTTTTAAATGATACATTGTTGGGAACCTTATTGTACTTTAAGTTGAGACTCTTTGCATTAGCTATTTTGTAAGTTGAGGTAGATGAACTTAAAATGTTGTGACATGAAGATGGGATGGACGTAGAAGGTACATAGTACCTAAACTAATAGGTACGTACCTAGGTGCTTAAGACGCAAAGTAAACTGAACTGTGTTACATAGTTCCTCAACGGGTTTTAAAACCTTGATCTGCTTAACAAGAGATACGATGCATGCTCTTAATACTTCTAAACTTTATAGTATCGTAGATAATTTTTAGGGAACTTCAGAGCCCTTGCTTTTTATCACACGCTTTTTTATTTAAGTTTTTAGTAGGGTGGGGGTTTGGTCGTTGAAGAAATGGAAGTTGACGGTCTCACGACGATAAAGGGAGGGCTTGATTAGCATTGCTCGTATAAAGCATATACGGGCGGGAGATTCTTAGTCTAATAGACATATCTAGGTATTGGCTTGAAATGAGGCTTAGGGGTTTCCGATTATCAGAATTTTGTATGTGATTTAGTAAACACCATGTATATATACACAATGATGCTGGGACTAGATAGTTAACTACATAAAGTTAGGGGTAAAGAAACTGATATTACTTCGACCTTGCGCCGATAAAGTGACCAAGCTGTGATATGTGATGCAGCCAGCATATAGATCGTCTAGATCGGTTTCTAAGAGGAAGGATGTTTTCATAACGTAGTAGTGAACTGTCAGAACTATACGCACTCGACGAAGGATGCCCCCTTTAATCTGACTGGATACTACTACGAAAGTATCACCACACAACTATATGAAATCGCGTATGAAGGTGGATTTACTTGGAAATATCATCTCCTCCTAGACAGGAGGTTATGTAGGCACAGCCCTCCCAGCCGAAGACATCTCCTTATACCTCAGCTCCTCGCACACCCCCTACACCCTCTCCCTCTTCCCCTTCCACTCCCCAAACCCCCGCAACCACGCCCGCACCGCCCTCAGCTCCCACAAGTGCGCCTCGCGTATGAACTGCGGCTCCGCCTGCACATCCAGTATCCCGTACGAGTCCCAGTGGTGCCCCGCCCCCGTGATCAGCAGCTCCGGGTGCAGCTCGTCGACCCCCTGCTGCGCCCACGCCTGCGGCGCCAGCGGCGAGTGGTAGCACAGCCCGTTCCACACGTCCTGGTCCCCGTCCACGAACGCCAGCCGGTCCGCCCGCAGCGAGTACCCCCCGAACGAGTTGTACACGCTGAGGTCCGGGGTGGGCGGGATCGCGTTGTAGGTGCCCGGGGGGAAGGCCCACTGGGAGGGGGGGTTAGTAGGAGGGTGATAGGGGGTGGGGAGGAGGAGGAGGAGGGAGATGTGATGGGGGATGGTGGATTAGGGGGTAGGGAGGGAATGGGAAGGATGGGGCTTTTTAAGCAGGTATAAAGTCGCAGGGAAGACGAAAAAGGGGGAGGGCCTGACTTACTGTGCACCATTGCTGCTCGTACGAAGTATCTATCACGCGGGACAACAGAGACGGGCCTTCTTTGGGCGCGTCGATGTATGCACCCTAGGTGTTGCTTAGGTTAGTAGCTTTTCAAAAGCTCTTTGACTTATGCGTGTATTCACTTACCTGCTCGGTGCAGCTTGTGTACAGATAGGAGCGTGCGACACTGTTAGAGATGTCGGCCCAGTAGCTCGCGTTCTGGGTTCCCTAAACGCAACACAGCGAGAGTTAGTGGGAGGAAGGTACTCGGGGTTGAGTTTACGCCTTCATTGTAATGAGCTAGAGAGTTACTTACGAAACAGTCGCCGTTGCTGTTGTAATCACCCGAAGCGCAGAGGGGCAGCGTGTACGTCTTTATGTAGTTCTGTGGGACATCGGATTAGCAAGGTAGTCTGTCCCCTTTCACTCTTTATTTTCCCATTTCCATGCTACGCTACTAAATAATGCTACGAGTCCAGGATGATGTAATTCACAGCCAAGTAGGATGAAACGGAATATGGGCATTGAAGAGCCACTCACCGCATAACCCCCTAGACCGACCCACGGCTCGCCATTAGTATAGTTGCTCAGGGCGTAGTCCACCTGCTTGACATTCTCGGGGGCGTCAGAGTCCGTGATGTTTCCACAGAAGTAGAAGAAATCGCGTGACCCGTAAGTAGAGTTCCAGTTCAGTTCTTGCCACGTATTGCTGTGATAGGTTCCGGGATTGCCTATGGGATCCTAAGGTGGAAAACGTTTAGAATAGGCGAAACTTTATAGGCATAATATGGAAGGAAATAACCCCTGATATAAGGGGGTAAAGATATTACCTGTCATACTTGACAAGTATCTCATATGGGGAAGGGGGTTCACTTACCGCTATGGTTGCGGCAAAATCACGGTTGTCAGTGAGAGACTCAAGTCCGAAGAGAGCCTTGAACTCCTCAATGGCCTCAGTCAGATTATGAGCGACGAGCGCGTCGAACTTGTCAACAATATTGTTTATACGGGCTACACAGTCCTTTTCCACTCGCAAAGGGTCAGCGAATACTGAAAAACAGTACGTCCCAAACTCGAGGAACGGAATTATGAAACATACGTAAGAAGCCTAGTACTTACTTGCGGCGCATATTTCTGTATAGGATCATACCACTCGGGGTAGCCAACAACAACTTGGATCGGCGCAGACGATGCTATTCCTCCGTACAAGATGTCTCCATACGCCTTGACCGAGAAAGCTGTCTGCGCTCCCGCGAGACTGCCACCATACAAGATCCAGGGAGTACCCGGTGCTGTGAGGTCCGCGTCTATGCCAGGGAACACAGCGTTCTGGGCGAAGTAAGCATTATCTGCGATGGTCTGGTTGGTAGTGAGAAATGCCAACTCATCCGTGGTAGAGGTGTTGAATGGGTAGCTCTCCCCGTAGTATCGGTTTTCGAGAATAACCCCTAAGCCGTTGGTAGCTAGAAACTCACGTTAAAGGCACATACAACTACATAACGTAGGTCTTATCTAGAGCCGTAGCCTAATGATAGTATCACTTACCTTCCATCAATATTTGGACAATTCCGGTCTGTAGGTTGGAGAACCTGCTTGGCCCTGAGCATCACATCAGCCATGATGGTAAGGTCATTACTAGTCATGATATGAAGGTGTTCGTGAATCCCAGCATCATTATGGTTATAACAACACTGAACTATAAGATGATGTCTGACTAACCGCTGGTCTCTCCGCCGATATAGAGATATACCGGCCCGCCTTGTTTTAGTGTTAGTCAATTCATGTGACTACCGGGATATAGCCTTTTTTTGAGAACATACCGGGCTTATAATAGGACGAATCAAAATAGTAGCGCTGCGAGAATGTGCTTTCCGCGTACGGCAGCCCATTTTCAGGAAAATGGTTGATTTTCTGCTGGAAGTAGTTAGGCGCATACGCGAGGTTCTCTCGGGGAGTGTCGCGTTTCAATTGACGACCTTGGGTCTGGCCAGACCAGGTGGTCGCCAGGAGGCCCAGTGATATCGAGCCGAGCTTCATCATAAGAGAGAATTTAAGATAGAGAGGATGGGCACGACCAACCGCATAACACGCACTATGCACATGCACATGGGTGAACGAAAGAGAACCGAAACGAAAGATAACGTAGGCATATTATAGTCAGTGCACTATGCTAGCTCCACAACATCCGTATGGTCGATCTCAGGAGATAGACTACATATTTACTACATTCGATGTACCGAAGACCCAGGCAGACAGGCAGGACAATACTAAGCCATGGGGAACGTCGTGGTAATCAAAACAAGCCTTTTGCTGCGAACCCACCGAATCAGATCGCTTCACATTCCCGGGTTGGGGCATAAAAATTGGGAAGGTTGCATGGAATTTCTTCTATTATGGCGTCAGCACCACTGAAATCCCAGGGGTCTTTATATTCTAGAGCTTGCTGAGCTTGCCTACAGGGAGGGTTGCTGACATCGTCGTTTAAGCCTATACAGAGAGGTCCTATACTGCGGTAGATCACAAGTTGAGGTAATAATCATTGCAAAGAGTCCTATCTAGTTTATGAGGTATTTCATCTATTCAAACTCAAATACACATTGAATTTCCATTACAAAAAGAAAGAAAAAGCTCTAACGATGTAGATTGGTGTTAGTGGTGGCCAATGTACGCAACTTTCTTACTACGATACGAGATCGTGCTAGCTACATGATTACGAATGTAGCATTGCCGCACACTTACAGTTGCATTCGAAAACTGCGACTATGGATCGCATCACCCATATACCGTAATATTTGATGTCAATTCTATTATCCATCCCCCTGGATCCGGTGTGTACCCCTCACCTCCTCTGGTGTCTGAGTAAGAGGGGTGTTAATAGGGTAGTGATAGGTTTTGCCTAGCGACGATCGAGCAAATAAATATCTAACCTAGGTATAGGTGGTAATTGAACTTTTATTGTGTAAATCAAAATCATGGCTGCTACTTCAAGAAGCCCATTTCCCTTATTTCTGGAGATACAAAATCGAGCTATACTGTCACTCACAGGCCCATAGTTTGACGAAACCAAAGAGCACTTCCGGATTTGAGTGGTTTCAAGAAGATATCTGCTGCGTGCCATGTGAAATGAAATTATAGCTGCGGAGGTCTAGTAACACTATTGGAATGTCTCCCTTGGTAGCTCCCAAGAGCCGTCATATGTCCCAGTTAGACGTTACGCCTAGGTAATCAACGTGATACCTTACTGCTGAATATCAATTACGTTGGTCAGGGTAGAGATCATGTCCACCTGGGACTTTCGGACAGAATTTTCAAGACGGCAGACAGGATATGGGGAGTCCTTGGTATCCAGCGTG